TTTTTTTTTTTTTTTAAGATTTTATTTATTCATGAGAGACAGAGAGAGAGGGAGAGAGAGAGAGGCAGAGGGAGGAGCAGGCCCCATGCAGGGAGCCTGAAGTGGGACTCGATCCCCGGTCCCCAGGATCACACCCTAGGCTGAAGGCGACGCTAAACTGCTGAGCCACCCGGGCTGCCCCAGATGGTTCACTTCTTTTATTGATTTTATGACCTGCAAATTAGGGAACCTAGGCCTTTGTATGGCAAATGTCTTTTTTCAGTTTGATATTCTTACTTTGTTTATGGGTATTTTGCCCACCGGAGTTGAGGCCTACGTTAACCGTCTTCTTCAGAGCTACTCACTTCTGTGCTGTTCACCATGGTCTTGCCTTGACTCTGATAATGAATACATCCATCTACATTTTCTGGAAGTGTTATGATTGTAGTTTTTATGTTGAAGTCTCTGAGCCATTTGGAATTGATTTTGGTATAAAGAATGCGACGAGAATTCAGCTGAAGACTTTCTCAGATGGTCAGCCAGTTCTCCTCATGCCATTACTCAGACACCACCCCTCTTCATTTTCATCCTCTTTCCAGTCCTTGAAGGGCCACGTGGCTCCATGTAGTCACCAGAGTGGAACCCACAGAAGTACCACATTGATTTTCCCCAGTCTGCCACAGACAGACCAGAAGGTCCCATCACCAGGATCCTGCAGATACCTCTGTCATCAGGATAGAAGAGAAGACCAGCTCTTAGAGATGGAAAGGGCACCATTGAGACACACCTCTAATGTCTTCCTTTGGAAGGAAAAAGAGAAAAAGAAACCTCAGGGGAGATTGTACTCACTACAGAAATAAGAAAGAGAGCCACACCTGGATTTCTAAAGACACATACTTATGCCCACCCTCTCTAGATGTATAACACACGCATGAACCACAAGTACAGATACGCTCTGACACATGCACATGCATGTGCTCACACATACTCACACACTTCAGATACACTGAGTTTCTCTAATGAGGGTGCATAGACCTAAAGAACCCTCTCAGTCCCAGGAACTCCAAGAGTGGTAAAGCCAATATTTCTCAAATAATATCCATATTCCTGTTAAAGGAAAAAAAAATCTGGAAGACCCCCCCCACCAAGATATCTCTGCAAGACCCTCAGAAAATGAAGAGAAACCAAAGACTTGTTCTTTGCAGATCTTCCTTTTTTTTTTTTTTAAAGATTTTTATTTATTCACTTGAGACAGAGAGGCACTGAGAGAGAACATGAGGGGAGAGGGAGAGGGAGAAGCAGACTCCCCGCTGAGCAGGGAGCCCGACATGGGGCTCTATCCCAGAACCCCAGGATTGTGACCTAAGCTGAAGGCAGAGGCTCAATCATCTGAGCCACCCAGGCGCCCCTTATGCAGATCTTCCAATCACAAGTTAATACATATTAAAAACTGCTAACAAGATTTATGTCACCATTTTTTTATGTCACCATTTAAAATGAAAACATGTCCCCAGCATTAAAAGACCCAGAAGAACATAGCCAGAGACCCTTGGGGTGGGGTAGGGGTTTACGTGAAGGCATAATCATGTAGCAAGTCTGCAATTTCAAATCCTCCCACACATGAAAGTAAAGGAAATCTCTCTCAGGTTCTTTGCTCTCTTTCTGCCTCTTCTGGTTCAGCAGACGCCGGCTCCTGGCAACAAAATATGATCCTCCTCCCCTTTTACCTTGTTCCATAACCCCTTTGAATTTTTCTAATAGAAATCGTTTGTGGTTGTACTGGGAAATTTCTAAAATCATTGCTCTAAGCGTAGGTACTTAAAAAATACAGAATTTTTAAAATGTGAAGCTACACCCACACTCTGGAAAATAGTATCTCTTTAAGTTGTGGTGGGCTGACCTGGGAGCTCTGGGTCACCTCCCAGGTTGGAGCTGTGAGAGATAACAGTTGGGATAACCTGGGAGAGAGACCCTGTCTCAGTTTCCTGCAATGTTCTCCCAGAAAGATTGTTTGCTTTTTTCTGGGGGCTCCCTAGGTTATCAGGGGCTAGTGGCTCTTAGGGTCAGCAGCCCAGCAGGTGTGCAGGGCCTGGAAGGCATGGAAGGAGGATCCCAGCTTCCTGCCTAGTTCTGTCCCCACCAGGCTGTGTAACCTTCAAAAGGCATCCGTCCAGCCTCTCTGGAACCCACAGCCACCTGAAGAATGTGGCGGTGGCCGTTTTCAGCTACATTAGGAGAATGAACCAGGCTAGAGGAGTTTCTCACTCAGTTTCTCACACTTGCATGCCCCTGACGGCCCTCCCACCTTCGCCAGGTCCCTCCCCATTTTCCCTCACACCGGTAATCCTGTCTCACAGGACCCAGACGAACACTCTCATTATGCAAAATACAAATAATAAATAAGAACCAGGTTTCTGTCTTTACCTCATTATAAGTATAGACTGCATAAATAGGTATGAAATTTGCAGAACATATTTGGGATAGGCTGACTTGAAAATACAGGCTAAGTGACCTATGCAAAATTTATTTTGCAGGCCCAGGGGTCTCTCAAACAGCTGGGCTGTTATCCTTCAGAAAGGTGAAACCAGGGGAAAAGGATGCATCTCAGAGCTGTGGCCTGAGCTGCTGAAGGCCTGAGCTGCCTCTCCAGGGCGACCCCGTTGCTGCTGCCGCTGGGTGAGTAGCGACACGCAGTGGCGAATTCATGGTGGGTAGCGGTTCTCCCAAAGAGCACCAGGCAGGCCAGCTGGCTCTGCTCCATGTGGGCCCTGCAAAGAGTCTGGAAGGACCTACACCAATGCAGGGGCAGGGCGACCCTGGGGATTGCAGTGATGGCAACACGTTCATGTTCTTTATTTTTAAATGTTTCATAATGCTGTGATTAATCAGAAAAACTGGAGATTTTTCTCAGAGGTATTTGAGAATAGAGAAACAAGGCTGCTCCATGTCCCTGCAGTAGTCCAGGCGAGTTCCACGGAGATGGGAGAGCTGGACCAGGTCTCTGAGGATGAGCATATGGAAGGATGTTCACCTCCTGTGCCCCCAGGGTTGGTGGGAAGTGGCCTTCGTGACCGTCAGGACCCTGGGTCTGAGAAAAGGACACCTGGGCTGACACATGAACTTGACGGAGGCCATCGCCCCAAGCCCAGGGTGGGTGCTGGTCCAGGTTGGACAGAGCAGGGGTCAGTGGGATCAGGATCATCCCAGTCCTTGAGGCTTTCTCTGTCTCAGAGGTCACCCTGGGCCGAGCCAGGGAGCCAGAGAGGGTGAGTAGCTGGGGTCTGGCACTTCACCCACCCCCTGTCCACTCTCCAGGCCCAAGGCCCCCTGACCCATGACCCCAGGAACAGAGTCCTGTCCTTCTGGGGCACCCTCACTCCTCTCCCCAACCAAGGCTGCCAAAGTCAGAAGTGGGGGCCAGGAAGACAAGGGTGCTAAGGGGTGGACAGCAGGTGAGGGGAAGGGAAAGATAAAAAGAGGAAGCAACCCAGAGAGAGGGATGGCGACAGAAAGACCCCCAGAAAGACACATGGAGGGACACAAAGAGTCACACACACATACTCTCTCTCTCTCTCTAAGGAGGTAGAGTCCGAGAGACAAAGACAGAATGAGAGAGAGAGAGAGAGAGGGAGGGAGAGACAGACAGAAATTAGGGCAGGACCTACATTCCACTCACTAGCTCCCTAGAAGTGTGGATAGGGAGGCAGGTGCAAGCCAAGTGGTGGGCAGAGAGGTCAGAGCCAGAGATGAAATAAAGGGGTCTAGGCATCAGTATCCCAGAGAACAAACATTTGCTGTCACTTGCTATGCACTCAGCACCATGCTAGATGCTACAGAGAAAAAAGCTGCAGGCCACATCCTTGCCCACCCCCCATCTCAGAGGAGGATTAATAACAGGCTGAGGCAGCTTTTCAGGGACCAAAGGGGAGGTAGAGGCTCCCGCAGAGCTGAGGTCACCAGGGTGGGGCTTGGTGACAGGGCTGCACTTGAGCTGCCTCTTAAGAGCAGATTCAAGGGGCAAGGGTGGTTGAGTAGGAAGGATGGTGTCAGCAAAGGTGTGGAGGTGGGGCATGTGTGGGTACAATGGGAGGGCTTTGAATGCCAAGCTAAGAAAGCTGAGGGAGCTCCTGGTCACACCTGAACACACGAGTGATGTGATAGAAGCTGTGCTTTAGAGAGACCTGGGCTAGTCAGTGGCCAGACCTGCAGACAGCAAAATAAAACAGAGGTCACAGGTACCCACTGACCCCTCCAGCACCTTCTCATGACACCTGCTACCTGATACTGCATTCCAGCAGCCCCAGACCCCTGGCCCACACTGAGCTGTTCTCACCTCCATGCCTTTGCCCATGCTCTGGCAGGAAGGCCTTTCCCTTCCACAGCCCCTAACCCAGCAAATACTGAAACATCATTCAGACTCTTCTCAAGAGTTTTCTCTTTCAGGCAGCCTTGAGGCAGGCGCCAGTGCCCCCTGGGTCCTCCCAGCGTGAAAGTCAATGTGAAGTCTCCCTAGGCTCAGCTGAATCAAATGGTGTTTTGGACCAAAACCAGAAAATAGAATCAGCCCCATCAGCATCGGTGCCTTACCACACCCCAAATTTGCCTATCCCCCCAAAGAAGCCCCACCAGTTGTCAGGCCCCAGCATCCAAACCCCGAAGACAGGAAGGCATGGGCTGGGGAGGGTGGAGTGACAGGGCAGGGAACATTTGCCTAGAGGTGCTCTGGGCTGGTGTGGCACAGAGCAGTGACTGTTTCCTCCAGAGAGGAGGGGAGTGGCACTGGGGGGCACTCGGGGCTGGCCAGGGGGGCCTTCGTGGAGAGAGCTTGCCTCCGCCTGACGTCCTTGGCTGGGCCCCGAGAGGCTGAGCTGGGGGCTGGACATCACCCCTTCCTTGTCCCTTGGAGAAGAAGACCCTCCTCTGCACCCCCCTAGCCCCCAGAGCCATCTGGATTTGCTGGGAAGGTGGCCGAAGCCTCCCCGCTCCCCCCGACGGCCGCCCACCCCCAGCGGGCCTGAGCCATGGAAAAGTTCCGCATGCTCTTCCAGCACTTCCAGTCCAGCTCAGAGTCGGTGATGAACGGCATCTGCTTGCTGCTGGCCGCGGTCACCGTCAAGCTCTACTCCTCCTTTGACTTCAACTGCCCCTGCCTGGCGCACTACAACACCCTGTACGGCCTGGGGCTGCTGCTCACACCCCCCCTCGCCCTCTTCCTCTGCGGCCTCCTCGCCAACCGGCAGTCGGTGGTGATGGTTGAGGAGTGGCGCCGGCCCGCAGGGCAGCGGACCAAGGACCCAGGGATCATCAGGTGCGCTCCCACACCACCCACCGTGGGATTGTCAGGGCCCCCCCCCCAGTCCCTGCCAGGTGGCTCCCAAAGCCCCGTGATCCTCACGGGTATTGGCAGGGCTCCCCCATGCACCCCCATAGGCACTATCAGGTGTGCCTGTGCCCCCAGTTGGGAAGAGGAGGAGCCCGCAGGGGCTCTTCAGCCAATTTCCACTCTGGAAACAGGTATTTCTGTTCCTGTCGTTTGTCACCCTTCCGTGGCCGGTGCTGGAGACCCATGGATGTTATAGGATTCCCAGGTTTTGCGCAGGTCACATCTGTTCGCTGGCCATGAGTTATCACTCAGTATGTACATGAAGGGCCATCCCGTGACATGCACAGCCAGCTTGCCCACATCGTAGGAGGCGTGATTGGCTTCAAGGCTATGTTCCCTCTACCTGTAAGCTCCCCGGGGCCAAGGAATGTGACCTGTTGAACCGCTGTGTCCTCAGAGCCTTGCACCTGCTGGGGCACTATATCAAAATCAGTTGATGGACTTTAGCAATTCATAATGCTCCCCGGCCAATATTGAGCACCACCTTGGTCCCACGCTCTGTGCCAAGTGCCATGTGTACACAGCCTCTGAATTCCTACCTTGGCCCTGAGAGGGCTCCAGGATTAGACCCGTTTTCCAGGATGAGGTGCCTGAAGCAGAGAGGGTGAGTAACTCAGAGCTCCCACAGCAAGGAAGAAGCATGGCTCAGATTCAAACACAGGTGGACTCCCAGTCCAAGCTGGCACCACTGCCCTGAGTGTTTTGGACAAAAGGTCTAAGTGCTCTAGATCTGCGGGCAGTGGCAGGAGGGGCTTGGGGATTTCAGCCTACTGATCTCTGTTTTTTCCCCTAGTCTTGGTATGGACAAATGCAGTGTTCTCAAGGGTATGTAATGTACAGTCATAACAAGTCCCCAGTTCCACCTTCTAACCTCCTTGCCCCTAGAAAACACCAGATCCACCCCTATCCATGATGCATTTATAATTCATTGCTGGGTGGGCCCTGTGCCCTTATACACACCCCCAGCATACACCATTTTATGGTTTGTACACAGTCCAAGTCAGAAACAACACCTGCGTGCCCTGCTCAGCAGACTCTGCTTCATGTTGCACTGGGGGTCCTGTGCTCCTTGTGATTCAGCCATGTGGCAAGGGTCACACACACTGGCCATGCCCTTTGCCTTTTCCCCTGCGGCTCAGGGAGTATAGCACCTCCAGACCTGGAGGGAGGTGTCTGAGGCACTGCCTCTAGAAGGATTATTGGGCAGGGCTGTCTTCATTTAGGCTCCCCCCCAAAAGCAGCTCTGGGGAGAACGTGATCTTGAGTGGGCGCCTGGGGTCAGTCCTTCTGGGGACCCTCTGAGAACACAGATAGAACACAATTCTCACCGAGAGTTTAGGAAGATGTGATCTTTATCCACCAGGCCCCGTCCCTGTGAATTGAAGGTTGACTAGGGTTGTTAACTCTCCTGGCTTCTAGTGACCCCCTCTGGGAGCAGAGACTCCTCCAAAGCCCTCGGGCAGAGCCATGCAGGTGGTTGAGGTCAGAGGCCCTCAGCCCTGCCGCATGAATGGAACTGATCACCGAAGATAGAAGTGCCTCTGGCATGGGCAGGGCCTAGAGTAGGAGGCCTACCAATTCCCCAGTGCTCCCATCCTGGGACTGCGGACAGGACTCTCCTGATCTCCTGGGGCCCCCAGCCCTCCAGCCTCTCCGCCCTCTGCTGCCTGGACCTCTGATGTGAGCTCATCAGGTATCTCCTCGCCCTCCTGGGAAGTCCATCCTTGCCTTTCTCCTACAGCCTTCCTGCTGCAGCTGAATTCCGGCCACCCTTCGTGACCCTGCCTTCCTTTACCCCTAGGTATATGTGTTCCTCTGTGCTGCAGAGAGCACTGGCTGCCCCCCTTGTCTGGATCCTACTGGCCCTCCTTGATGGCAAGTGCTTCGTGTGTGCCTTTAGCAGTTCCGTGGACCCTGAGAAGTTTCTGGACTTTGCCAACATGACCCCCAGCCAGGTGCAGCTCTTCCTGGCCAAGGTACCCTGCAAGGAGGACGAGCTGGTCAGGGACAGCCCCGCCAGAAAGGCAGTGTCCCGCTACCTACGGTGCCTGTCCCAGGTAATTTGGGTGGTTCTCTCCCAGCCCCGGAAAATCTCCTGCTTTGTTTTCTGAAGGGCATGGGATGAGGAGGTATGAGTGGTTCCCTAGGGCCCCTCTCTGCTGCTGGAAACACAACCAAGGAGCAGATGGCCCCTGGGAGGATCAGGAGCATGATCCCTAAACAGGACTCCATTGGGCCTTAAGAAGCACACACTTTGCTATCAACATTAACTCACCCCAGGGCAGAGACCAGGTGCCCGTACCCTCCAGGAGTCAGCTAGTTCCATCCCCAGGAAGCTAGATGACAAAAGCACTGGAGATACATTGCTCGGCCCTGCCCCCCACCCCATAGGCACATTCTTGCCACCTCTCAGGAATAATACTAATTACCATTTATTGAGCACCTATGTATCAGGCACTGTGTTAAGCATTTCATATGCATTACTTCATTTATTCTCAGAATAACCTGATGAGATGGGTATAATTATTATCATCCCATTTTGCAGATAAGGAAACTGAGGTCCTGAAAGTTTAGTTCACAGACCCAAGTTGCACTGCTCACAGGAGACAGGGCAGGGATCTGAAGTGTCATCACTCCAAGCCCTCTGAACCACCTCACTGCAATGCAGGTCCTCCCCAGGCCCCTAGCTCCCCACACTGGCATCCATTCCATCACCCTGGGGGCAGACTCCAGCCCCACCCCCAGCCTAGACTCCAGATTCCTCCCAGAGGCCAGTTGGGGCTGGGTCCCCACAAAAGTATTTACATCAACCCATCGCATGCAGAGCATGGCTGGGGCTACAGGGAATAAAAACACAACCCAGGCCTTTGTGGGAGCCAAGACAAGTGCATGATGGAGACAGGACCGGTGCTCAGGACACATCTGATTCTGGGTCAGACTCTGCCTTAGCCACATTACTCCCCCATCTAGGTCTCAGCCTCTCAAAATCAAGGGAGGTTTGGACTCCTCCACGTGGATGAGCCCTGCAGGCTTAAATTCTCTGGGCTCTCACTAGTTCACCAGAAAGAGCATTGAATTTTCAGGCACACCAAGGTTTGAATCCTGACTCAGATGTAGGTTATCGGGCACATTAAATGCTCCTCACGTGTAAAACACTCACATGACTATTTTACGTTGGTAGGGGGAAGGGGAGATCCTGAGAGAGGCCAAATGAGAGAGCTTTGTAAACCAGATCTACAAATGATAAGGGTTCATATGTCTTTGTGACTTAGAGGAGTGATTTCTCTGCCCCAGGAGCACACAGTTGCTCTGGTCTTAAGCACAGCCTTGGAGAGACTAAAGCTTTGGGTGGGCAGAGAGGAGGGAGAGGCGTCGGGCAGGTGTGGGCTCCAAACTCAGGAAACTCTTCAAGTCTTTCCTCACCCTTGCCCTGGAACACTGTCCCCTGTTTGTATCCTATATAACTATTACTCAGCTTCCAGGTCTCAGCAACCACCCCACTGTTCCCTTGAGTCCTCAAGTTCAGATTGGGTGTCCCTCTTCTGTATTTCCGTGACCCCCTATACATCTCTCAACATAGCATTCAGCCAATCTATCTATCACCGTTTCCTTGTTTCCTCCACTAAAGTGTGAGGTCCCCAGTGCCTCTTCCCAAATATAGGACAGGTGGCTGCATAGATGGGATGCATAAGCACCTGTGAGGATAGGTGAAGGACAGGATGAAAAAAAAGGATGATGGATGGATGGATGAATGAGTGGGTGGATGATGGGTGGGTGATGGGTGGGTGGGTAGATGGGTGGGTGGAGTGTAAGGAGGCAAAACTCTGCCTCCATGCATCTTAGGTTTCCAGCTGAGACTCTAACAAAAAAGTTAACAGGAGGAAAACCCAGTTTATTAATGTGCCCAGTGCATATCACATGGGAGAAACCTAAAACAAAGAAAGAGTAACTCAAAGTGGTGGCTTAGAACTGCAGCTTATCTGCCATCTTCAAAAAGAGCAATCAATGCCTTTGTAGAGCAATGACGGGACGAAGGAGAGCAGTGTCTGGCTCCAAGGGCAGAAATTGTGGAAGGTCAATAGATGACCAGAAGCTACGTGATGTTTGTCAGCAGATTCCTCTGGTATTGTCTCTGGGCAGATAAGAATTGTTTCCTAGTAAAAGGAGAATATATTTCCTGCCTTTAGGCACAAAAGAGGAGGGTAAAGAGAACTGTTCCTAGGGTTGCTGCTTCCTGTCTTCCATTCAAGATAATTTTTATGTCAAAGAGGCATATTTTGGGGTGACATTCTGGTTTCCTTCAGGAAGAAGGTTGGGAGGATGAATGAAGTGTGGGTGGATAAATGGAAGAAAGGATGAGAGTATGGAAACATGAGTGGATGGGTAGGAGGATGTATGATGTACAGACAGAAGGTCCGAGGCGAGGATGGCTGGATGGGATGCTGATAGATACAGAGGTGAGAGGATAGACGGCTGAACCAATGGGTGGAGAAAGAGTTGGACAGACGGATGGATGCAAGGATGAGTCTGAATGCAAGTGAGGATGGGTGGAGATGGTTTGTAGGAGGGATGGGTAAATGGGAACATGGATAGATTTGGGGAGAGATGGGAGGGATAAGGAAAGGGAGAGACTTTGGAACACCCTTGCCGCGCTGTATAGCACCCGGCCTCACCCCTGCCCCCAGGCCATCGGCTGGAGCATCACCCTGCTCCTGATCATCGTGGCCTTCCTGGCCCGCTGCCTGAGGCCTTGCTTCGACCAGACAGTCTTCCTGCAGCGCAGATACTGGAGCAACTATGTGGACCTGGAGCAGAAGCTCTTCGACGAGACGTGCTGTGAGCACGCTCGGGACTTCGCGCACCGCTGCGTGCTGCACTTCTTCGCCAGCATGCAGAGTGAGATGCGGGCCCGCGGGCTGCGCCGGGACACCGCGGGCGGGCGCCCCGAGCCCCCCCTGATGCCCAACGGCCCCGATGGCCTGGATGGCGACGGTGGCGGCAAGGCCCACCTGCGGGCGGTCTCCAGCCGGGAGCAGGTGGACCGCCTCTTGAGCACGTGGTACTCCAGCAAACCACCGCTCGACCTCGTGGCATCCCCTGGGCTCCGGGTGGGTGGCCTCAGCCACCGCTCCGCCACGGTGGCCCTGGGCACCAGGCTGCCCCAGCACACTGACGTGTAGAGACCCCAGCGGGGAATGCCCCCCTAACAACCATCTGGGGCCTTTCCCGGCTATGGGGACCCCCAGGCAGGGCAACCTAACCCTTGCTGGGCTCCTTCCTCAAAATGGCTTGGCCTCTGGCCGAGTTTCAGGGTGTGGCCTCCAGCATGCTCTAAGGCAGGGCTTCACAGATTTTAAGATGCTCACTGTTGCCCGGAGCTCTTGTTAAATGCGGATTCGGATTCAGTGCATCTAGGACTAGGTCCCATATTGCATCTCTGTCAGGCTCCTGGGTGATACACTTGTGAACTAGCAAGAGTCTAAGTAGATCTGCTGTGCATTCTGGATCCTAGATGTACAGATTCTAAATTAAAAATAATAATATAACATCTAACATGTTTGCCATATGCCAGACATTGTTTTAAGGTCTTTACATATGTAACTCGTTTAATCCTCGTGATAACCTCATGAAGTAGGATGATTATTAGCCCCATTTTAGAGAAGAAAACTGAGGCCAAAAGAGGTTAAGTTGCTCAAGGTCACCCATGGAGAAGCTGGAATTTGATCCCAGGAGGCCTGGCTGCTACAGAAGTCTCAGCCCTCTAGATAGTTTGTGTATTTGTTTTCAGCACTCTGGTTGGGTTTCCTGCAGCTTCCCCTGAGTTTCTCTGAGTAATAACTAGCAAGTTCCAGGTGTGTGGTGCAGGGAACAGATCTGAAAATCAGGGCAGGGGTGGGCCCAGACATGCCCACACTGACCAAGCACCCATTTGATTTGATGGGTGATTTGATAAGTGCCAATGTTTTGTTTTGTTTTTTAAGACTTATTTAGTTATTTATTTCAGAGAGACAGCAAGAGAGCAGGGGAAGGGCAGAGGGAGAGGGAGTGTCATGCAGACTCCCTGCTGAGCACAGAGTCCAATGTGGGGCTGGATCCCACCACTCTGAGATCATGACCTGAGCTGGAACCAAGAGCCCAATGCTTAACCGACTGCACCATGCAGGCGTTCCAATGTTTAAGACCTCTGCGCCAAGTGTGAGTGTTGGGCCTGGCTAGGAAGGAAAACCCTTGAAACACCAGGGTTAAGTCTTGCTGGAAGAACTACCACTCAGTCTCTGGCAGCCCAAACAGGAAAGGTGGGGAAGATCTAGCCTCGGAGCAACTCTGGACCTCTGCCCCTCCCTGATGACTCATTCATCTCTCTCTCTCTCTCTCTCTCTCTCTCTCTCTCTCTCTCTCACACACACACACACACACACACACACACACACACACACTCACTCACTCACTCATACAAACACATCCTGCTATGGCCTCCATCAGCACAGATGGTAACCACAGATATGCAAAGCTGAGTTCCCCCCCATGCTTTTCTGGTCCTCAGGGCCTGGAAGGCAGTGCAGGGGCCCCTGGATGTCCCCCTGGAGCCCAGTCGCCCTCCATATCAGGCAATCTCTGCTCCCCTGGGCTCTTGCCAAGAGACTTGTATGACCAGATACTCTTTGCAGCTCAGCCTCCCTCCACCTACTGTGCTGTGGTCAGACCATGCAAATGTCTGAAACAGAGCATGATTTAACCAAAGTGTTAGCAGGGATTGAATGGGAAGGAAGGAGAGGGATCTTAGAGATAGTCCAGTCAGCTCAGCGTAAGGGGCTCAGGGACCCCACTTTGGACTGCAAGGAAGCAGCATTTGGCCCAGTAAAAAGCCACTGACTGCAGTCAATACCCTACCTTCTTGTTGTACTGTGCACTTATAAAGCACCGAGTGCACAGAAAGCATTGTGCCAGGAAATAGGAAAGAAAGAATACACGGATGATGTAACCTGCCCTCACGGAGCTCACTGTCATACAGGGACAGAGCTGGATACAGAAACAATTGTAACCAAAGAATTATACCAAAGAAAAATGTATAAGTGATATGATAGAGGCAAGCCATGTGCCACAGAGATTTAGCATGGAGAAGAATGGCTCCAAGCTGGGGGATCAGGGAAGGCTCCTTTTGAATGAGTCTGGAAGGAGAGGGAGGGTTTTGACAAGTGGAGAGAGAGTTGGGGGTGGGGCCACAGGGCACCTACAGGGAGGAAACAGCAAGAACAAAGGCAAAGAATTGGGAAAGGAGGCAGCATATGTGTCACTTATTCCTTCAGCAAATATTGATGGAATGCCCAGAGTGCCAGAGAATAGGACAGACAACATCTCTTTTTTTTTTTTAAGATTTTATTTATTTATTCATGAGAGACACAGAGAGCGACAGAGACACAGGCAGAGGGAGAGGCAGACTTCTCGCAGGGAGCCAGATACAGAACTCGATCCCAGGACCCCGTGATCACGACCTGAGCCAAAGACAGATACTTAACCTCTGAGCCACCCAGGCGTCCCAAGAGCTCTTTTTTCTTTTTTTAAATTTATTCATGAGAGACAGAGAGAGAGAGAGAGAGAGACTGAGAGGCAGAGACACAGGCAGAGGGACAAGCAGGCTCCAAGCAGGGAGCCCCATGTGGGACTCGATCCTGGGTCTCCAGGATCACACCCTGGGCTGAAGGCGGCGCTAAACCACTCAGCCACTCGGGCTGCCCAAGAGCTATGTCTTAATGGCATTTCCAGTCTGGAAGGGAGAGATGACGTGATCTAGTGAGCACACAACCAAATGCAGAGGTGTACCGTTCAGCCTGGTGAAAGCGAAGGAGCTTGGCTAGGGGGCCAAGGAGCCCACTTCTGATGAGTCCCATCAAGAATTGCTCCCAATAGGCAGCCTGGGTGGCTCAGTGGTTTAGCGCCGCCTTCAGCCCAGGGCCTGATCCTGGAGACCCGGGATCAAGTCCCACATCGGGCTCCCTGCATGGAGCCTGCTTCTCCCTCTGCCTGTGTCTCTGCCTCTCTCTCTGTGTGTTCTCATGAATAAATAAATAAAATCTTAAAAAAAAAAATTGCTCCCGAGCCCTGCATCCCATGACACATTCTCTGGCTCCTCGGCCCTTGACAGCCCTCAAATGTGACCTGACCCTTCAGTCCCCAAATGATGTGGTTTCCAATTCAAACCTCTTTGCCATTGTCCATCCACCATTTGCTCACATCCCATGAGAGTGAGATGCCTGGAGCAGTGCATGCCACCCAACCAGGGAGTGAGGGACATGGCTGGAAGGCTCCCACCTGCTCCCAAAGACCCTCATCTCCCTGGAGAGCAGCCATCATGAGTGTCCAAGCTCATCACCCCAGCCCCAGCCAACTCTGGGTGGTACCCCTCCCGACCATGCCCTGCACAGAGGGCCTGTCTCCTGGGAGACACAGTGGCCAGCTGGGCAAGGCAGAAATGTACTAAAAGCTGCCTGGACAGCTGCAGTTCTGCAAAGGAAAAGGAGTCTTGGGAGTTTAGGTCAGGACTGTGGCTTGATCCAGCAGGCAACTAGACATGAGAGGCAACTGCATGCCCGCAAGGTCATGCAAGGAAGGACACGGCATGGATGTTTAAGCTGCAGGAGTGGGCAGGGCCAGCAAGAGAGAGGCTTGAGTGAGAAGAGGAAGGAACAAGAACTTCAGAGCTTTGAAGGAGAAAGAGGGGGCAGAAAATGAGAGAAAAAGGAAAAATCACAGAGGAAAAGTCCAGAAGAATGCCAGAGACAAGTAAATTTCACAATGGGGGAAGGCTACACAATAAATCCAGAGCTTCAGGGGGATCCAGGAGTGGGAGGACTAAAGGAATATCATTGGTTTTTGGTAACTCTGTAGGGCAGAGGACTGCTCACCCAGGAAGGTGTCCTGGCGAGGCAGATGGGGCAGGGGTTCTGTAGGATTCATATAAATCCGTGGGCAGTGCCTAACCCCCTGCCCCCCCAACACACCCTCAGGGTTATAAAGGACAGGTGGGAGGTTTGGAGCTTGCCCTGTTTTAGGATACTGATGTGGGAGGGACCCTTAGCACCCCAACATAGGAAGAGGCACCAGGACCTGAAAAGTATGACGAGAATAGAGGAATCATGTCCACGCTAACACGCTTCCAATTCCAGGAAAAGAGCCTTCCAATTACCTCCATAGGAGGTAAAGGAGTTCTCTGCTGACAGCCTGACTCTGCCTGGCCCTTTGAGGCCAATTGAAATGACCTGTCCTTATCTCTGCTTGATCTGCTCTGCAGGGGGGAGGGCAGAGAGGGCTGTAGGATGGGGAGAGTGCCCCTGAAGCTCTAGAGGAGAGCAACAGAAAGTGGTCTGGGTGGTAACTGGTAGCAGGGCGGAGGTGACATTGGTTGTAACCGTGGTAATGAGCTTTGAGTGGGCACCAGCCCCTCCTGAGCACCCCTCCTTGCACCCAGCCACCCTTCACATGAAGGAGGACCTGCTCTTCAGAACCTCCCCACCCTGCTCACAGGATCCAATCTGGTGGCAAGCCCAGAGCCAGAGTGACAGGACTATCTCCTCTCTGTGTCTGAATTCCTCCCTCACTGAGCATCTACTAAACCAGCCACACTGGGCTGAGCATTAGGAACACAGCAGTGAACGAAAGAGGCATCGGTATCAGCTTTTGACACGCATTTGTGCTCTCCTACGCAAATCAGAGATTTTCCTAGAGGTTCAGCACCCACTCTCCAGAGGCCCCCTTTGCATGCTACTTTTCATGCCACTCTTCACTCCTCCAACCCGGAGGGGACTCGGCAGCACTGGCATGGGTGTCAGGACAACTCCTGGGGGCAGGAGGTGAAGGGACCGGTGCTCATCCCACAGTGGTAGCCGTGGCTGAGTTTGTCATCCAAGGCATCCAAAAGTTTGAGCAGGGACTTGACATTCCTGTTTTCCATTTATACCCAGTCACACTCTAGGAGCTATAGGGCAGAGGCGAGAAAGACACAGAGCGCTGCTAGCTGCACCACTGAAGACCATACTGCAGCAGATAAGAATGGTGGGCCCCAAGTCTGCCTCCTGGTCCCTGGAACCTGGGAGTGTGTTACCTGCAAAAGGGACTTTGCAGATGTGATTGTGTTAAAAGTCTTGATGGGGAGACTATCCTGGATTAGCCAGGACTACCCATG